ATATATATTATATTAAAATGGCTTAAAATGGCTTCATAATGTTTTAAGTTTTTATATCTTGTGCTGAATCTGTATAGCATTTGGTTCCAATCTTGTCAGACTACTCTTAATGGCTAAATATCATTTACTTCTCCATCTGATTTTGGTGAAATTAATGAATCATCTCACTGTTTAGTTTATTATTAGGGGCATTTACATACCACCCTACTCCTATGTATTGACATACCTGACACCTAACTTTTTTTTAAAATTATACCATACAAAGTATCTCACGTTTTTATGCATGGGTAAGGTGGCATGTATGTAAAAATTGAATACATGTGAATTGGTTGGTATGTATGTAAATCTTCCTTATTTTGATATGCTTGGCATAAATGATAATAGGAAAGTCATGCTCATTAAGCGTATAAATGATAATTTATTAGAGGAGTGATGCTACATTTTTAAAAATACATTAATATTTAGATTAATGCCTCATCAACTATGTATGTAACACCTAATGCAATGCAATTAAAAAAAAAACTAAATTAGTGCCCAATGCCTAATATGTGGTGTATCCATAAAGTCTCCACTTTAGTATAATCACAAATATATATATAGTGATAAAATAATAATAATAATTATGCTTAAAAACCTTATATTTATAAAAAATTATTTGTATTTGCTATTTTGTAAAAAAGATTAAAAAAAAAAAGATGAGTCAAACAAAGTTTTTTTTTTTTATTAATATGTTGAAAAAGTGCAATTTTTGTAATTACATAAAGAGCCAAATTTGTCCAATTTGGCCTCTCAAGCCTTTGATTTAAAGGGTTCCAACCAAAGGAGCAAGTAATAGAAAAAACTTAGACAATGATGGAAGAATCTAAAAATTGAAACTAAAACATGACTTATAAATCTTGTAAAATTCTAAAAAGGAAGAAGACTAAAAAAGTAGGAATCATGTAAATTTTGAAAATCTCAACTTCATATATCTTTATTCGCGACAAAACAAAATCATGAAACATATCACATCCAACGAAGACAATTGATGTAGATTCCAATCAAATTGAATTCTAAGTTGTTTCGCCAACCCGTAACTAATCTTAACCGCTTCATCAAAAGAACCGACAACGAAAACTAGTAATACCGGGCACCAAAGTCACATGCTTCTAGCAAGCATTTCTTGATATCTCCTATAAGACTCTTGCTTCTCCAGCCTAAACTTCTCATGGCAGCTTGCAATGAACTTCTCAGCAAGCTGGTCTATTTCACCTGCATCATCGACGTCGTCATTGCCGCCGCCATCGTTTCCTGGCTCGTTTTCTTCAAGCCATTCGAGGTAGCCTGAGAGCTGCCGCTCCAAGCTAGCATCATCATCACTGACGACAACAATCGAGTTCCATGTTGAGTCGTAGAAAGTTTGGCTTATTGTTTTAAGACCCTGAAAGCTTATTGCGGGCTCGGAAATCGGAATTACATGTGTTGACGGCATATTGCACCACATAGTGATTGATTTCAGTACCCTCTTCATCATCTTCTTCTTCTTCTTCCCATGCATCTTCGTGGCAGAGATGCTTGTTTTCTTGCTAGTGATCGCAGTCGTCAGGGTCAAGAGCTTGATGATGAAGGATTTAGTGTTCGATAGAGCTCGAACGAGGCGGCACAAGTGCCGAAGAATGAAGGCTTCTACATGAGTTTTGATCTTGAGGGATTGGCATGAAGCTTTCAATGAGGAATTATAGGAATGAGATGTGAGAGAAGGCTGTTGAGCCATGAGGTGGAGAAAAAAAGTATGAGAGGTCATGGCTTTATAAACAAGGGTGTTCATACAATTGCCATTTTATATTCATTGAATTCACATGATTGCCATTGGCATTAATTCTTATGTATTTATTTTCTTTCCTTTTGTGCCAATAACATGTTTCAGAAAGTATGAATTTGTCTGTTGCATAATAATGTAATTGATGTGAACAAGAAGATAAATTTATTGCACATGTAAAGATGTAGTCTAACTTTTTGGTAAGCATGTCATATTCATATAAGTTATGGGTATTTTGGTGAAACTTTAACTGAAATGCATAACCAGAGTTGAAAGAATCAAACCCTAGTGATGAGAAGATAATGAAGAGATGGACTACTTTTGCTGTACAGAGAATTTAGATGTGACAATTATAGAGAATTGCAAAGAAGATGGGTGGGGGGGTTTCACAAAATATAACATATATTGAGTTAAATTAGGTGTAAAAATTAGGTCGAATGAGTGTGAGTTAAGAGTCGAAATCACAATTAATTCGAGTTAGGCGGAATCGAGTCAAAATGATTCGAGTTGATAAACTAAATTTTATTTTTATTTACTTTTATTCTTATTTTTCTTCGACTTATATATACATCATGCATAGATTATATTATTATTATTATTATTATTATAAAAAATGAAACTTTACTTATTATTATTGACCCACGATTAAAAAAAAATGAAAATGTTGTATTGTATCACTTGTGTTTTGTTGAAATAAAAATTAAGTCCTTCATATTACACACGAAATAATGCTCATTGTATTTTGAAATGATAAGTTTTTCTTTTCTAGAATATAGAGATTAATTTCTATTTATTTATTAATTAAGCATAAAATTATGTAATTCAATTGTATTTTTTTTTTTTAAATGGAATGGCCAGAGGCTACTGGACTAGCTCCTAGCCACCCCTAATATACCTAATAATTCGAGTATCGCCCTTCATAAAGAGACCGTCATTAGAGGGATTCGAACCCCTGACCTCAGGGAACGTACAACTGACTCGCAGATGTGAAGAAACAAGTTGGGGCACGCGGCATGTGTAATTCAATTGTAATTATTTAACTTAGATTCTAATGAAAAGTATGGCTCATTATTGTTGCATTATGGTCAACATTTAACACATTTGCTTCCAAAGCTATTTGAACAGTACTTGTATAAAAAGAAAAGATAAATTTAAAGGTTGTGTGGAATCCTATTTTAATATCAGTTTGCTTTAAGTGCTGGCTTCAGTCAAAGATTTTAGGCATCATAACCTTTCTTTTCTTTGAGCACTGGCTTTTTACACAAATGTTCACGTATTTCGAGCCGAGCTAGGTCGGCTCAAAATCGGCCTTTGACTCGTTATATTAGATTTCGAGTCTAGCCGACTCGAAATTGAATCAAGATCCATCCGGTTCGAATTCGAAATGAGCCGACTCATATTGAGTTATTTGGATCAGTTTTAGTTCGGAGTCAGCTCAATCTTACTCAAAATTGAAACTAAATGGCTCAAATTTAATTATTTGAATCCACTCCAACTCAGAATTGGCTTATGATTCGTTATATTCACTTTTACTTAACATTATATATATAATTTTTATAAATAAATACTATGAGCCAATCTGGAGTCGTTTCAAGCCGATCCATGTACGTCTCGAAATCAACTCTTAAAAAAAAAACTTGATCCAAAATTTAGCTCATAGCTTGACTATTATATTTTGATCCGAGCTGAAATTAGAATTGTTTTTCAAGCAATTAACGGCCTTCGAGCTAAAGTCACAGTTCTAATTATAACTATGTGTGCGTTTTATATAAAAATTTTGACTCAGTCAATTCCAAAATTTTAAATATAATTAACGATTAACAACATGGCTTCTTATTCAAATTCAACTCATGTTTAGATAATATTAATCCAGGTAAAGTTATATAGTTTACATAAATACCGACTTACCTAAGGATGATATATTTTACCATTTAAAAGTTAAAATTGTGATATTTTTTTATGTGATATGAAAGATTTAGATGATATATAAGTAAAAGAAAAAATACGTAAAAGAAAAAATAAAATTGTGTTAGATATGTAAATACATAAGAATTACGTTTTATGCTTGTAAGGGTTTGTTTGGAATAATTTTCATTTTTTTTTTGCTTTTATTAATACCAATAAATATATATATATATATATATATATACTCTTCCTCGTTATACAACAAAGTGATAGGTAGATAGGAGCACTTATTTGATGTAGATCATAGAGGCTCAAGTGCCATCCAAGTTCAAGATGCATATACTAGAATCCGGCCAAGTGAAGCCAGACTTAGCAGACTACACCACTCCTCTCGAGCCAAACATCTCGCTCCTCACAATCAATTACACGTTAAAGTGTCGACTTTTCTTTAACCACTTCCAAGGAAACACAATTACGATGGTCCATTCATAGTTTTCCAAGAAGCATTACGTCCATCATTGCTTCAAGCGAAAATTCAAAACGCAACACTTATATAACATTTCTCAAGCTTCCATGGAGATAATACAAACCCTAAGTTCTACTTGGGTGACAATAGACACCGAATCTTATATGTCCAGCATCTCTTTAAGTTACCATGTGATTGTCAAATCCATTGGTTGATTTGCTCGAGTTGAAAAACAACCATATTAATGTAAAGGAGCATGGCCATATGACTTCATAATAAAATTTGAAGCTAAAGCATTTGGAGTCAATGAAAGATGACATGACAAATATACTTAGTTAACCTAGTAATTGCATTATTATCACCACTAGTAAAAGTAGTGTTGAGTATTTTACCTTGGAAGATGAGATCTGGAGTTTTTGACTTTAAATCATCAAGGTAGCTTGCTATACCTTAAGCGTCGCCGGCTGATATTGAGAATGTTAAATGAGATTAGGAGTACTTTCATTGATCATTGTTGAAGATTGTTGCAACAAATGATCCTGACACCTCAAAATATTACTTGTTTTACAATGATCAAGGGCACAATGCAAAGAATTGTCGCCATTTTTAATACTCAATCAACTAGCTCATCAATGGAGGAAAGCTAAAATAAATTATTCTTGTTGACCAGGGGGATAAAAACCTGATAAAACACATATAGAAAATTACAAAATAATATTATTATAGCATTGATGATAAAAATTACAAGGGCCATTTCAATTGTTCCTAGAAAATCTAAGGCAGGAGCGCCGGGTAGATAAACCTCAAATAACCCCAATAATGAGATATTCATGACGACTCCACTTTTTTACCTTCACCAACCTTCTTTAACCATCAACCAAAAACTCCTATAAAGATGCAATCATCATCACATTGTTGGTAGCCGACTTTCACATCGACAACATCTATACTAATAGAAAAGTTTATTGATCATCATCATATTAAAAAATATTTTTATTAAATACATTTAGCTCCATCTAGGTTGCGCCATTGTCGGCCCCCCTTATATTATTTTTTTCTAGTGAGCACAAGAAAACATAAGAATAAATTATGCTAACACTAACCTAATGGGAAGATGACTTTTAATATACTTCATAGTTGACTTTATAATATTAAATATTCAATAGTGTACAATAATATATTTGGTTAATATTTATGTTAGCTTATTGGGTGTGTGTGTATGTGTCCAATCAAAGAATTCATGTTAGTGTATTGTGTGTGTGTGTGTGTAAACTTTACCAATTTACAAAAAAAAAAAAAAAAACAAAAAGGAAGGATTATCTCAAGGATAGCCCCCCTAATTCTATGGATAGTTGTCGTTATCGACTTGTAGTCAAATGATTAACCACAAGATTCCTCAATATCTTCCCAATAAACCATTACATTTAAACGTATTCTGCTCATTGAAAAAAGATAGCCTCCATTATCCTCGAATGGAATATATTGTTACGATGCAAATAATCTGGATGCAAGGTCGCTTGGTTGACTTGACATTTCATGATAGAAAATATGTTAAAAAGACAGTAAATTTGGAGCATCAAAGTCTAAGTCTATGTTATCAACTTGCTAAAGAAAATCTCTAATAGGATAAGTTGTTGTTCTTATAGTTTCATCTTAGTCTAATGACAAATGCTTTCCTCCTATAAGAAAGTCTCATAAGTGCAAATCATTTTATAGTAGGCTAGCAAGTGAAACTAAGCATTCAATAAGTTGAAATTGTTGCTCTCCACGTAACCTCTTTTCATAGGCTAAACGCCTAGCAATCACTTCTTTATCTCATAATGGATATGGATGCAATATAAATTATTCTCATAGAAGAAGATGAAAAGACAGTGTTCATTCTACTATTCAATCAATTTTCTCCATAAAGACAAGCTCAGAGATTCAATGAGGAGAAATTAGAATTAAACATTAGTCATCACTATCCAATGACTTTGTCATTTCTTCTAATCAAACGCAATTCAAGTTATCAATGACCATCCACTAGAACATTATACTTTTGAAATCAAATCACTCATGCCAACTTCTTAAATATTGAGTGGAACTTGACTAGTTTAAAATATTTTGTGCAAAAAAAAAATTATCAAATTATCGATGGATCCAAACTTATGGATGGCTGATTAAATTATAAGAGAAATATTATTACAAAATGTGAAGATCATTGGAACCAAATAGAAGTATAGATGTTAGATATATAAATACATAGGAATTGAGTTGTATGCATGTAAATCCTCCTAGAGAAATTTAAGGTGTTTTTACATATACCACCCAATTCTTATGAATTAACATATCTAACACCAAAATTTTATTTTTTACATTTACACATCATAAAAAATAATATTATTTTAATTTTCAAAAAGTGCAATACGCATTTTAATGTATAGATAAGGTGGTATGAATGTAAATACTGAAGTTTTAGTGTTAGATATGTAAATACATAGGAATTGATTGGCATGTATGTAAATCTTCCAAATTTTAATTGATAAAACACATGGGTAAAACTAAGGGATTAAAAATTGGATCAAACCAGCAAAATCTGCTGGTGCAACCATGAACCAGCTCTATGATCAGTTCACTCTACATCCAAATCCATTTTTTGGCTCAGAAACAGACAAGCATTTACATAGCACACAATTCTTATGTATTTGCGTATCTCACACCAAAACTTTCATATTTACACAGCACTCAAATCTCCAATATGACATCAAAACTAGCACTCTTATCACTTTTTACAAGTGAAATACACTTTTTTATGCACAGGTTTAAAGCATAAAAATATAAAAGCTGTAAATGTGAGATATGTAAATAGATCAAAATTGTGTGCTACGTTTGTAAATTTTCCCTTTTTTTTTAAACCACCCGGTTCATATTTTGATCAATTTGTCATCAGTTTTTTTCTACCGGATAGCTAAATAGAAAAAATTTACATTCAATGGAACTATAAAAACCTACACACCTTAATTCCTAACAAGTAAATGCACAAATTTTCAAGTATAAAAGGCAATTAACTTACAAACTTAATGAGTTGAAGCACTCCACAATCATAAATAATGTAAGTTTTAGGAGTTAAATATATAATTACATAAGAATTGTTTGGTATGCATGCAAATATCCCAAAATAAAATTCACTCCAGCGCAACTAAACATAAAAAATAATTTCTCAAGACATAAATTTCTACAAATAAAGAAATACTATTACAACTCATTTCAAAAAGACAAAAATAAATTCAAAATAAAATCATGAAATATCATGACTTTTTCAAACAAATTGAAAAAGTAAGGATTTACAGACATTACAGTACAGAATTTGCTTAAACTGAATCTATTACTTTGAAGATACATAACTTTCACAGGGAAAAACTTCCGTTATCTTCTTCTATAGAGAAAAGATTTCAAATTTACAAACAGGCTATTAAAATTTTACGTATTTACATATCTAACTGCTAAATATCCATACTTATATAATATCATAAGCTCCACATCATATCAAAAATAACACTGCCATTAACATATCTAAAGTGAACTGCACATTTTAATAGATATATATTGATGTGATATAAATACTAGAATATTATCTAACTACAAAAATAATTAATTGTTAGATATGTAAATACATCAAAGTTCAGTGATATATTAGTAAATCATCCAAAAGTAAGAACCCATAAATTATTTAAGTTATTTTAAATGCATTTGTCGAATTAAAAAATACATAGCAAACACTAATACCCAACCAAATGACAATGTGAAAAAGGCATCACCTATTTAAAAAGCTTTCTAATTTCAAATTTGTAACCAAAAAAACAAATAAATAACCTGAAACACATCACTCAAAAATACTTTAGAAATGGAAAAACTAACCTGGCATACAAATCAGAATACTCTTCCTGTATGCTGAGATAGATCAGTACTGCTATGCCCTATTAACACGGATCTTTTGCCCTTCGAACAACTGAAAGAGGCCATTAAAAAACAAAAAAACCATTAGTGTTAAAAAAATGTATATATATATATATATATATGTATATTTAAGAAGATTAACAACATACATAGCACTCAATTTCCAAGCATCACATATCTAACGCCTAAACTTTAATTTTTACATACATGCCACTTTTCCCATGCATGAAAAGGTGTGTTTCACTTTTAAAAGTTAAAATGGTGGTATTTGTTATGTGACGTGAAAGAATTGTGTGTTATAAATGTAAAAAGTAAAGATTAGGTGTTAGATATGTAAATACATGGGAATTAGGTAGTATGTATATACATGTCTCTTTTTTTTGTAACTCATCGCACACATCATTCATGCTAGTCTTTGAACTCAATACCTTAAGCTCTCAACCATTAGACCAAGTGCAATGTTATGAAAATGCCCATCTATTGAGGTAAATTAAACTTTCATTCACACTTTAACACTAGTTGGTTACTCTTAGGAACTCTTAACAATGTGGCAAACTCTCTTGAATATAAGGTAAAAACAAATCAAATGAAATACATAAATTCCAATAAGCAAAAGAAAAATAGTTCCATGAGATGAAATCACTAGAAAAATTATATAAATTCTAAGAAAATATGAAGGGACGTGAATCACCAAGACAGTTTTCTGAAGCGAAGACAGCCAAATGATTGACTGAGAAAATTATACACACACACACATGTATATGTATAATTTTCTCAGTCAATCATTTGGCTGTCTCATTCATTTGAGCTTTTTTTGCCTATTAATAGATGCAATGTTTTCTCAAGGAGTAAGCTATTGATGAGGATGAACATGACCAAATTGTGTTAAATCAGTGTGTCAGGATCCTCTCAGCTAAGTTAAAATAATGCATAAATAATTAAAATGGTCAATCGACTTGTTAGATGTGTACACTTTAGTTTCAGATTTTTCATGTGTTCAATTTAACCTCTAAAACCACAAAATTGAATTAATTTGGTTCTATTATCAAATTTGTTGTTTCTTTCGACCAAAATTGGAGGGAAGCTCAAGTAAACAAGGCGTTCTATTATCAGCAAGTAATTCAAGCACATTGTACCAACTACAAGAAAAACAAGGTAAGAATAAACAAGTATGGATGGCATCCTTAGAAATTGTAACCTTTAACATTAAAATTAGATGAAATGAAAAGTCCAACAAAGTAGCAATCTTCTTACACTATTGTTAAATGAGGAAATAGCAGCTACCACATCTTCTTCAGAAGAGAATGAAATAAATCCAAAGCCACTTGATTTTGAGGTCCCAGGCACCCGAGAAACTTTTGCACTAAGAACCTTTCCTTTCTCTGAAAATAACTTTGTCAGTAATTTTGTTGTGACTGTCTTTGCAAGGTTGCCTACATAAACTTTATAGGGGCTATCAATAAACTTAGATTCATCAGCTTGGAGTTGAGATAGATCAATAGGGTTCAACGGTTTTTCTGTCACATTAACTTTAATCTTCCGGCCGCCAATTTCCTACAAATAACTCAGCAAACATAGTTCCATTATGATGGAAGGATGAAGCTCGAGTAAAAATTAGAAGATAAATTTAGAAAAGGAGATTAGAATTACCTTTTCATTTAGCTTCTCTATAGCAGCATCAGCATCATCTATGGAAGCCATAGTAACAAATGCAAAGCGTCGGCTTCTTCCAGAGTATTTGTCATACATAACCTACACCAGATATGAGGAAACATTATAATACATTATAGTGATTCAAATGACATTGCTGGCACTTTTCATGATTATCTACCCTTTATGCATGTAGGGCTGTCAAAAAAGCTCGTTGTTCGCGAACAGTTCGTGTTCGATTCGCCAGAGCGTTCGTGTTCGATTCGTTCGATAAGCAAACGAGACGAACACGAACAATTTTTTTCGTTCGGTTTGCTAAATGAACCAAACACGAACAGTGATGCGTTCGTTCGTGTTCGAATCGTTATTGTTCGAAATAAAAAAAAAATTAAATAAATAAATAATAATATATATATATAATTTATGATATTTTTAAAATAATTATATACTCAAAAAAATTAATATATTTTAAAATTTAAAATCTGTAAATTATAAAGTAAAATAAATTATTCATAAAAATAAATTTACATACTATTTAAACTCAAATAATATAAATATTATATATTTATATAATATTTGGTATATAATTTTTATAATATATTATATTTTTATTTTTATATTATAATATATAAAGGAACGCTCATACGGGAAGCCCTAATTCCCTAACCTCCGTTCGCTTTTTCTCCCAATCTCCCGTTCGCTTTCTCATCTCTTACGCCGCTCTCCTCTCACAGTTTCGCGCCGCTCTCCTCTCACGGAAGCACGACTACAGGAGGCTAGGAGCGCTGCGATCTTTCTCTTCCCGGCTGCTCCTTCTCTCAGGATCGTGAAAAGCTTCAAAGCCTCTCTCGGTGAGAACTTCTCAAAATCGCGAAAATCGTTCTCTCGGTGAGAGCTTTGAGTTTATTTTTTGTGTTCGTTCTCTAATCTCTACTTCCATTTTTCTTTGAGAAAAGGTATTTTTCCTCGGTGAGTCGGCCTCGGATCGACCCGGTATTCTTGCTTAGGTGTTCTTATACTTCGGTTGGTCGGTATTCTTGTTTGGTTGCTCGATATTCTTGTTTGTTTGGTTTTCTTTTTTCGGTTTAAAATATATTACTGTAATCCTAAGAGAGGTGTTGTTGTTCATGTCTTTAAGTTTGTATCAAGCAATAGTTTCCATCTTAGTAGATTTTGAATATACATGGATTATGGTAATGGATGAGGAAAAAATAGATGATAAATGGAGAATGCATGAAGGAATTATTTTAGCATTCATAGAAGTGTAACACTGATAATGCCAAATTTTATGACAAACTTCAGTCAAATGGTGTAAGAAAATTTTTACTTAAATTTGTCATACTCTGCTTTACTCTCAATCATTAATTGTAAAATTATTTGCATTTGAGCCAGAATCTTTAACCCGATAAATGAGCAAATGAAAATTAATCAGCAAAATATAAAATGAAGTCTCTCCTTTTGCAGCTTCAAAAGGCCAATTTCTGAAGTCGCTTATTAAAAGGATAATTGGGTCCCTTTATAAATTCATATGTTTTAGCTCTCCTTCAAATGATTAGGAAAGAAGCTTCTTTTGAAAATTTCTCTGGTGTACTCCCTCTCAAACATTACTGCATAACTAATATAATTATTGCGAGTCCTCTTTGAAGAACTGTTCAATTTTTCATGCCAATGCAGAAAAGTAGAACATGTAGCAGAAGAGGCGAACTCGCTTAGAGAAAGTTTGGACAAGCATGCATTCAATTATATATTAAAGTTGCACATTAAAGAAATGATTATCTTTAATGAATTTCTTTTAATGTTATCTTTGTTGGTTAGAGGTTCCATCCTATTTCTGCTTTCAGTCAATTATATCAAATTTATGTTTTTTTTTGTTAGAAAACATGTTATTTAGAAGCAAACATTTGCATATATTTAAACTTCTTTTTCTTTTGAAGCATATTTACGTACATACAGCATGAAATGATTGTAATCTCATGTGATATTATATTTTTGTATGCAGTTATTTAGAATATCAAATATTGAACATTCTCAATCTGCATCAACTAGTGAACAATTGCCAATTGCAATTCATGATGGAAATGATAGTTCTCAACCCGTAGAAGTGGTTGTTGGAAGCACTAGTACTGAAATAGAATGTAAGAAAGGCAGGAAGAGAGAATCATCTGTTTGAGAATATTTTGTTGATGTTAAATCAAATTCAAAGGGGGTTGAAAAATCATTTGTTCAATGCAATTGCTGCAATATGCAATATGCAATACTTTAGGCAATGGCTACTGCAATATGCATTACTTTCATTG